GATAAGTGTCTTTATGTGAAAGAAAACAAACGTACGAGCCACTTGGACACGTTATATGTCCGTGGAACAAAGACCGGGTTGCGTGTGCACTCCGCGGTCAAACGACCCACGGTATCGTCCCATTCAAGCGGACAAACAAAATAGTCGTAACGAATGAGGATCAGGGCAAAAACGAAACCGAACACCACAGTTGCCAGTCCGCCACCGATAAATCCTTCCCAAGTCTTCTTTGGAGACAATTTGATCAGGGGTGTTTTGCCGAAGAAGAATCCGCACACATAAGCCATGATGTCATTGCAAATGACCAGAGAGACGGGCAAAAGAAACCTGGGAGAGAAAGACAAGGAGACGAAAAGTTCGGATTGGGCTAGGTCAAATTGCCCAAACGCGAGTGAATGCACTGTAGTGGCATTATTGTTTACGTATGAATAACGTGCAAACTACAGGCGAACAGGAATTGAGACGACCTGTTTGTTACACGTTCAACGACAATGAGATGAAATATTCATGTCTGTAAGAGCTTGACAATACAGCATAATGATGATTGAATTCTATGAAGTTTTTATGGCTATCAACCAAGTCTGTGAGTACCGGTGTCGATTGTTACGCTAAACCAACTGAGGAGATACAAAGCAACAAACAAATGGCAACATATTCCCATTAGGGGAAACTATGCGCATCACAAAGGGAAAGAAAAGCAATGCACGAATCTGGACCTCAAATAGGCAACTGGATACAATCAACCTTAAACCGATATACAATTAATGCTTTCATACGCTTTCTCTTAGTCGCCAACCAAAAACGCGCTTTTGGTGTGGCTCAGCTACGTTTCCGGGAGAGCGTAGAGTAAACGGACAGCAACACATCCGGTGTTTGACCACGACCACATGGACTTATCCATTTTATTTGTCAATAATGAGCCAACCACAGTGACCCTAAGCAATTAATCCTCAGAGTAGTTTTGAAGACCTGATCACAATACGTACTCGACCCTATGTCTAACCTTTCTATCTCCGAAATAAGACTAAGGACTCATCATTAGCATCCTCGTACAGCATAATAGAGTGAAACGAACTTCACTGATCGCTAACAAACTTATATCGCATACAACTTAAGTGAGAATATGTAGGGAGGATAGGGATAAGGCTTACTTTTAGAGACGGAAAAAGAAAGAGAACCGCTAGGGTCAACACAGAGTACACTGTCCAACAGTGCGTACATACTTCAAGCATTCTGGTCTGATAAGAAGCGACAACAACGCCATTGCCGTCGGTTTACCGCCATGAATTTCAGTGACTCCAACCATGCGGTTTTGGAGTCTTTTGGACCCCAAACCCGGAAAACGAGAGAAAACCATTTTACCTAATCGCTTTGTGCATTTCTTCATGCCTCTTCGTCACGTCAACTGCTGGCCTCAACGTGCTTTCTCCAGTCTGGGGCGGCCAATGCAAATAAGGCGCTGTGCGCTAGGCGACCGTCGGACATATGCAAAACGTGTCCTAAT